ACCCCGGGCTTGTCTGCGCGCCCTGAGCGAGCTCTGGGTTCCAGCTTCCTCGCTAGAGAGCCGGGAGCTGCAGTCGGAGGAGCCTGGACAGTGTCGAAGGGGCAGAAAGGACGCCTTCGCAGCCCCCCCAAAGAGGGCTTGGCTGGCAATGGGCTCAGCTCTGCCCTGGGTCCCAGGCTGGACTGTCCACTGCCTGCACTAGGTCCCTGCGGGGACGTGTGTGTGCGTGTGTTTTAACTGCCGTGTAAAATCCAAACAGTCTCTAGAGACCAAGAGAGGGCCCCCCGCCCCCGAAGCCGTCCGACGGAGGTCACTCAGGGCAGTCGGCAAGGCTGTAAACAGGACCCTTCCTCGTGAGCTCGCAGCGCTTCGGGGCTATTCCTTCTACCCCCGGCGAAAACCAAAAGCCGAAAGCACCTTTTTGGGAACTGAGATTTCGAAACCAGTCCCGAGCCACGGACTCCACAACGTTTGTCTGATAAACACGATAAGGGAGATTTATAATATTACCGATTGAATTGCTTGCGGGGACCGAATTCTGTCATCAATCACCCAGCGTTGTGTGTGTGTGTGTGTGTGTGTGTACATACATGCTCATCTCACACCTTTACCAGATGCGTAATGTTTAGCACAAAACTATTGATTCACTACAGAAATATGGTAAAATGCAGCTGGCTTAATGGCTCGGGAACCAGAACGTAGACTGAGGGACAGTTGGTGCCCCCCTCCCCGCGAGGTGTAAGTCCGGATTCAGCTGATCCCGCCCGGAGGCTGAGCCTGAGTGTCCCCGACGTGGATGCGGACACTGTGCAGAGCTGAATGTGAGAGCGCATCTCTGTTTAGCATCCTCCATCCCTTCTATAGCATCGTCCCCTGCGGCTCTGATCACTCCATTAATTAGCACTGGCCTCTCTCTTCTGCGTCTGCCTAAGTTAAGGCTCTTCCCCACCTCAGCTCACTGCAAATCAGACCCCATTAAACTCAGCAACACCACTTCTTTCTTCCCATACATTTCGGCAGATTCAAGAGTCTTACCGAATATTATCGAGGTTTTTGAGAGAATGAATAATGGCTTTTCATATTTCCTAGAGGGGACCACATAACTCATTTCTAAAATACTTAGATTAGCAAAGCTATTTCCTGCGAAGAGCCAGAGAAATGTGGCGATGTTTCATGACTAGCAACTTTTAGGCTGATGAAAAAAGATAAGAGCTCCTTCTCCCCTTGCTGTGCTCCGACCACCTAAGAACAAAGAAACTGAAGTACTTCTTTTTAGCTTTATGAACGTCCTAAAACTTTATATTTGAAGTCTCTAAAGAGCAATTTTAATACTGAGACTTGGATAAGAAAAGGCCATTCAACTCAGAAAGGTCCATCTTTGCAGTTGCAACTTGTAAGAAGGGTTGTTTTTTATTTTTTAGTAATAGTCTTGTGTTTAAGAAATATTCCTCTTACTTAAGCAGTATGCTTGTACATTGATTCTAGTTTTAAGATCCAAATATAACAATTTTTCCTTCAAAACCATCTCAATTTCTACTGTTTCTAAGATTTCAAATGTTTTAAATTTGATTTCATGTTGCTGTCAAAAATAAATTTATTCAGTAACTTGTGGTTAGAGGTGGCAGAAGTTAAAACCTTGTTGCACTTCACTTAGAGAAGGTGAATTTTAGTGCCAGATTAAAAGGATTAAACTTTTCTCCTATATTCTTTTTATATTATCATGGAAAACAAATTACTGAAAACCACTTGCCTGCAACCATTCCAATCCTTGTTAGGGCAGGCATCAGAACCATGTCCTTCAATAAACCTTGAATATTTTGTTCTTTTTGGAGCGAGGGCAGAGAGCTTATGAAGCAGAAGGAGGAAACTTTCACATAAAACATCTCTGTTCATGTGGGAGACGATGAATAAAGTATTTATATATTTGTAAATGGTAACTGCATTGAAATCCTTTGGTTAAAATCTTTAATTAAAATGGAAGAGTAGTAGGTGCTGGAAAATTCTCTCAGAAATCTGATATATCTATTTCATTCAAAAATTATTTTTAGCTAAACATATTCTTTAAAATATTTTATATACCTTTACTAAAAAGTTTCGTGGGAATCAAGTACTATATGTAGGAGTGGCCTACTTATTTATTGTAAGCGTTTCTATATTTATTACACTGCAGTCCCTAAAATACTTATGACCCTCATATGTAATTTATATATTTTTTCTTTCTGAGCTTCCTATTCCCTAAAAATTGATATTTGTATTATTTTTAATACTTAAACATTTTATCATTTTACATTTCTGTCATTCAGGGAGAAAAAGCCAGTATTGCACTTAGTATACTTATGGTATTATTTTGGGGAAATTTATTAACCAGTTGTTTCATTTGTGATTTTTAAAAAATCATCTAATGGGAGACACTTTTAAGGCAGCAGTTTCTTTTAAAAGTGTCTTTAAACGCTCATATATAATTGCTTTTAGATTACTATTCTGAAACCTGTTTTTCAACCATTCAACTTAAGTTTGAGGAAAAGGGAAGATTGTATATTAGGATAAATTCATATTGAAATAATTTCAGGTTTGATCTTAAAAAAAAAAGTCATTCTTATCCTATTTTAAAGCAGAAATACAAGGCACCAAGTAAACTCTTTTGGGAGAGACATCAGGAGAGGAAAAAAAGAATAACTGAATCCCCATGAGAATATGTCTAGTTTTTCAATTGGTCTACGTTTTCTAATGTTGAGATGTAAAACATGATCTTCTAGCAAGTGGCAAATTATGTGAGGGTTATAGAGGAGTGGGAGTCACAGAAAAACATTGTCCTGTTTTGGAAAAGTGTTTTAATTAGGCAAAAGAAGCATCAAGACAAACCATTTTTAAAACAAAGTCTCCAAGTTGGGTATTGAGATTGGCAAATGGAGAAAGAAGCCAGGAAAAAGTCAAGGAAAGATAAAATAATAATAAGAAAGCCAAAGCTATTTGCAATTATATGTTAGAACTCAGGATTTTGCTGGTGAAAAAGATGTTGCTTAATTAAATATGTTCATAAACTTGCAGTAAGATTTCCATTTAGCAATTTTAGAAGATTTAACAAGCTGCTTAAAATATGACAAAACTGAGTTTTAACAAATGATATTAAAACCGGACAGCCAACCATTTGACAAAATAGGAGGCAGTGTGGGAGAGCCCTCCCCGCATTCATTGCAGATTCTCAGCTCCCTCGGCCCGGTTTCCCTCCATCAGGCTAACGACCTCATTCCTGCGGTAGAGCCTCGCCAAGTCGCAGGCGGTATCCCCGTTGTGGTTCCGATGCCCCACGTTGCTGGCGGTGTGCTTCACAAGGAACTCCACCACCTGGAAGTGGCCTTCTTTGGCAGCCAAGTGCAAGGGCAGATTCCCTTCGTTATCCTCGATGTTAACATCAGCTTGAAACTCCAGCAAAGTCTGTAAAGTGTCCAGGAAACCTGCTCTGGCTGCATCGTGAATGACAGCGAAACCAGTTCCGTCTTTCAAATTGGGATTAGCACCTCTAAGGAGTAGTCTCCTGGCAATCTCGGGATTTCCAAGCTTCATAACCTAGAAAAGAAGGAAAAAAGGTAGAATCCTTTAAGTGCTTCTACTACAAGAATATTTTAAAATATCCACCTCTCCTATTTACGTAACGATTTATCATTGGTGAAGGAGTACTTGGGGAAGACGCATGTGATAGAGTTTGAAGGACACAGTTGCCGGAAGGAAAGTACTAGTAGGTAAAACTAGAAGAAAACTTAAAATTGAGCTTAGATGATGGAATATCTTAAACGGGCCCCAAAGTAGGATAAATTGATCAATAAAATAGAACTAGTCCAAACTGTATAAAATTCACTCACAACTCAGTTCTCTATCTCCCACAAAGGGTTGTGTAATTTCATGAATTTATTAAAAGAAATGGAATTTGAGATTTAAATAAGAGCCTTCTTCTGTGCTTGTTCATACCATAAAATGTACCTAGGGTATTTGTTATGGAAAATCAAATGTGGGCAAAATTTATTTTCTAAATAGCTACTGAAAAGAAATAAGGAGTGAGTTTCTTTAAATTCCCCAAGAAGTGTTTCTACACATCAGAATCCATCACCTAGTGTAAAAATGATCTATTAAAAATCCAGACCTGATCTTTTCTTAAATGATTAATTTTCACACAACATTTCCCAATAGATATAGTGACAAATTTCCAAGTGTTTAAATTTTTTTTTTTCTTTGCAAGTTATCACATATTGGCCATGAGGTGTATTCAGTGCTTAGAATCTTTCACTTGAAATTTTAAAATGTTACTGATTATTAAGGTGTTAAGTAAATAACAGTGTTCTCCGTGGTTTATGATACTGACTTATCTAAAACTAAGATCATGATATGCCTTGTATTAGATAGGAGATGATTGTATGGCAACTGCTCTTGAAAAGAATGAAATGGTCGAATCCTACTATATTACTTACTGTTTTTTAAAGTTCTAACTAGCCTCCTGATTTTCAAGTGAGCAAAAGAAGAGAAAATTAGATATTTAATGTGTACTTTGGGACACAAACAGCTTTGTGTATGGTTTGAGCCTATTTAATAATCAACTGGTGATCCCATCTTATTTCCTTTTGCAGTTATTGTCAGGAATTTAGGAACACTTTAAAAGCCAGAATGTGGTATTAAAATTTGCTGTCAACATACAAATAATTCACATGACAAAGACTTATCTGCTGTTGTTTGAATATACATATTTCACTTTAGTAAGAGGTATCTATTAGGCTCTAATAATTGTAAAGTATCTTGTAGAGCAGAATGCAGTTAGTTATATAATACATATAACTTAGTTGTGAAAAAATATAGTCTCATTAACATGCCAGAAAATTTCAGCATTTTAACTTGTTTCATTTATATTTAGGTATACTCATAATAATATAAATTTATAATAAATAGAATGCATAATAGACACTCAAATATTTGTGAAATTAAATATAACCCATTGGAAAATACCCACAAAGTTGATCTATCCCTTTAGAATGTTTTTTTTTTAAATAACCACAAATTATGTAATATAATTAAATATATTTAGAATGAATAACATTTTATAAATGAAAACTACATAGATGTCCAAGATATTAAGCTTCCCTGTCGATTAAACCCTGCTGGCTTTTAGCCCTGCCTTTGGGGCAGTGGTAAAAATGATACGTAATTTATTTTTCAAGAACTTCAATGAAATATACTTTTTGATTATTAGAAATCAACACAGTCTAATTTTTGCCACGACTGCCTCTAAAGATTTAGTCACATTTAAGGACCTGGACTGGGAAAAATAAGAAACAGACAACATGGATCTTTGTAAAGCAAATGTACGATTAAGGCCTTTGATATTATTCTGATTGAAAAGCTTATACTAGCAAGGGGGAAAAAACTTTTACTATTGAGTTAAATAAACATAAACGTAGAAGGAAATTTGCCATCTTTCACAGAAAATAACAGTAATGTTGGAAATTGTTTTAAAAGAAAGTTTTTCTTGAGTTATGACACAACTTCAGAGTCAGGATTATACATACTGAAAATAAGCCTTGAGACTCCTGTTTATGTGTGTTTCATTATATGTACAAGGGCTAAACCACAGTAAGTGGGTGTTAGTATCTTGATAAGCATGTTTAATATAAACAAGATTGCAGAATTGTATTTAAAATGTTTGTCCAAACTTTTTTCAGTATTAATTTCCCAGTCTTCCTGTTTGTCAAAAGTCCTGCAAGATCTTATTCTGAATATGGGTTAAGTAGCTCATTGTTTGTGAGATTTATAATCTTTTAGTTTTCCATAGAAAACTTTTAAATATTTTAAATTTGTGGCATTGCTATCATCACCACACCTGGTAAAACTACTAGGTAGAAAAAGAAAAAAATTCATTTCCCCATTTAATCTACTTGAAATAACAAGACAAATTATTTAATATCTATGCGAAAGCTTCCACAATACTGGAAATTTTGCAAGGTCAGTGTATTCTGATTTAACGTGTACAGACTGTATGGGCGGTGTCAGTTAATAGCATGTCTCCTGCCACTTATATTTTCTAATTCTTGTAACTAAAACAAAGCACCCTAAAAACCCTCTCCCCAATTTTCAATGCTTCAAGTGTGGCATTTCCGAATAAGACCAGCTCATAAGAATATCATCAGAATTCTGATAAAGCAACTATTTGAGACCACTTTTCCATTTTTCTGTTTTAAGCCTTTCAACTAAGTTACAGGATAACATTCAGAGGAGGAAAAAAATTATCAGGTACAATACTTGGCAGCTGGGCTTGTTTCATTTGTTGCTTGTAAATCTAATTACTAAAAATTAGAACATACCGCGGCATGACCGCAGAGACAAAAACACAAGCTGAGCTCTGATTAGAAAATTCAACTTTTTATTCCTCCTCAATCCTGAATGGGTGGATGGTATTACATTAACTGTGAAATGTACATCCTGTCCCCATGCCAATCCACCCATTCCAAACGAGGGAAGGTCGTTTGTCAGAACTTGAAGCATCTGAAAGAAAAACACCCTTGCCAGTAGTCAAGAAAATTAACGTTAAGTCAATTATTGGAGCAAAGTACGGAAACCACTAATAGCAGCGTATTTACTTCAAATAATAATCATAATAATGTGTTTACAGAGCTGTCTAACCCCCCCCCCC